CTCCTCTTCCTCTTTGGATTCTTCAGATTTCGCCTCTAATTCTTCACTGTAAGCCTAAGCCTAATGCATTAAATATATTAGGCGAGAAAAGAAAGGAAAGTTGACAACACCATGCACAACAAACAAAACATCGCGGTCACGGTGCGTACCCCCAACTATTAATAGAGAACAGGAATACTTCGGACCAGCGATCCAGGAAAGTTCTGGCGATTTAATGTAGAATGATCGATAAAATATTGATAACATAAGGTGGGTTTGTTAGAGATGAAAACATATTATTTCATCATCGAATAGACAACCGTAAAGGTAGCTTATTATTCTTGGTTACTTCGATTTTGGGTCCGCATTTTTTTTTTTTGTTCACATGCACAACCGATTCACTTGATATATATTATCATTCTTTTCTTAATTTATTTTTTTTTAAATTAACAAGATCAGCTAATTGAAATTTTTCATATATTTTAGTGAAATTTTAGACTAAATTTGCCACTAAAGTTCATATTTTAATTTTTGGTGATAATGCACCTATATAGAGAACGATAATGCACCTAAATAGAGAACGATGGATAATTGGTTCGCGAGAATCAGAACCAAAGACACCAAAGTCTTGGAGATTCCTTGAGTCTCGATTTCGTCATCAGTTCAAAGATTTGGTTATAATATGTTAAAAACATTATAATGCGCCTTCTAACCCCCAATGAAAACCAGCCTATTATAGTATATAAACCATGTTCATAACAAAATTTGTGGTAAAAATATCAAAAGTTTAGTTCACATCAGAAATGCAGATTCAGATTCTGGCAAAACTGGTTAATTCACCAAACCCGTAAAGGTAGCTTATTATTCTTGGTTACTTCGATTTTGGGTCCGCATTTTTTTTTTTTTTTGTTCACATGCACAACCGATTCACTTGATATTGGTGGGAATAACTCCAAAATATGAATTAAAATGGGAACTTTATTCAAATTAGAATCGCAGAAATATTTCTTAGAATAATATTCATATTATTAGACTCGTTAAAATGGTTCTAATTCCCATTGGGATAAACTTGTTGAAAAATTCGACTGATGCTGGCTATTCACATAAACTTCCACCCTTAATGGACTACTTGGAATATACGTTCAATGTAGCTAGCCAGCGAAGCGAGCTTACCTGTAAATGGTGTGTATTCATGAGAATATGTTGAAAACAAATGAAATTCTAGAAATTGCGTTAATTCCCATCTTATTCGAATTAATATTTAGAGATTTATGAAAACCCTATAAGAATCGTTACTGAGAATTGTCTATGCTTATTTTCTATTTTTATTTCGTTCGTTCTTTATTTGCCACCTTAAAAGATGGAAACTTATTTAGAAAGAGGAAAATTCTCAAGTAAAATTTTAGCAACTACAAATTATTGAGACAAACTACTCGATTCAATGATTGTCAAAGTAACCAAGATAGGCTCAAATTTTTTCCTTCCTTTTTTCTATTTCTGCTGGAGGAAGTAAAATTAATTATAGGTTCTTTGCAAAGACACCAACTTCGGCGGTGATCCAATGGCTACCAGTTGCTTTAATAATTATAAGCAGTTCTTTATTGTTATTGTTAATGAATCGCCATTATTACGCAATACATTTAGCGTAGTTCATTTTTTTAAAGCAACGATCTGCAAGCCAACTTATTCATTTAAAACAGTGAGTTTTTTTTTCATAAAACTATCCACGTAAAGGCGTAAGGATAAGAATATTTGACAGTAAACATTGCGATAGTTGAAAATACGAGTAAAAAATCATATTAAATAAAAGCACGTGACACGTGACGTCGCTTCGTTCGACTAATTTCTGTAATTCGTCAAAATTAAATTGAAATTAAATAAGTTAAATTAAATTAAAATATTTGTTAACCGATTTTTTAAAATATTTAATAGATCATAATTAATTCACCTAATTTTAAGAAAACCGAAATTATTATTAGTAAAAGGCCCTTTTTTCAATTTCAACAACGCAATGAATTACACAAACCTATCGCCTATAACTCATTTCACGTGCTCCACGTGTTATTACAAATCTCACGTACAAGCGAGGCGCATTCACAGATTACTATAGCGAAATAATATGCAATTCGATTAACATGAAAATATATTACTGTACTTGAGCAGATATATTTGATATATTTACGAATTTTTACGAGAACTTTTGTTTACAATAAAGTCTTATGATATCGAAGAATTGTGACGCATTTCATTAATCGTTGACGATTTAAGGGAATAAAAAAATATCGGAAGAGGAAATTGAAATTGCAAAAAAAAAAAGAACGATTTGAAAATATTGAAAAGTTTTTTTTAAAAAATTAGCGATGGAAGTCGAACAGTTCAATTGGGAATTCTTTTTTGAAAAAGAATTTCGACGGGTAAATTTTTGTCGAAAATTGCATTTTAGAGGTAAAATTTCACATAAAAAAGCTTTTTTCGCGATAAATATTCTTCGAAGTTTTTATTTTTCAATTTTCATAATTTTTGCATTAAATTATAAAAAATGGCTAAAAATTCTCAAAAAACGAGGAATGGAAAGTTCTGTTTTTTTTCTTTTTTGAGTTATTTTTTCTCGCTGTAGTGAAAAAGAAAGAAAGCCAAAAGAACGAAACCGAATGGTAATTCGCATTTATCATTACAGAATTCGTTGATCCATAAAAATCCCCAAAATTGAGTTATTAAGCTTTTAAGCCAAATTGAAATAAAACAATTAAGATGCAAAGCAATAGAATAAGTGTCGTGCCCATAGTAATTTATAAACATGCCCTGGCAAAGTTAACAAAATTAACTAAAAATAAACGACCAAAGAGAGAAAAACCATCGTCCGTTAAAGACGTTATTCGAGAGGGGAATTTATAGTCGTCGTTCATTCACGGTACATTTTTGCTGATATTAATAATCAATCCTTCGCTTTATTCCTTCATTGTTCCTTCATTCCTTCTTTACTTTTCCCAGTGTGTTTTGCTTATGTTTTAGTTACCATAAATATAATTTCTCTTTCGCTTAGATTATGGTGAAAATTTTAGCAAAAAAAAATAGTTACAATAGTTATTGGCTTTTATATTGATATATAGCGATTAGAAAAAAAATTGTTGAATTATTTTTTGTAATATTTAAAAAATAAGACTTGATAAGTAACTAACTAACTATTGAATAGAAAGAAAAGTGAAATTTGAATATGGCCGAAAAAAATGAGCGTAAAAAGTGTGGAACTTGGCCATTTACTGATAACTATGACAATATTTCGACTGCGTAGAGGGCGAAAGAAATACCAGTGGATCCTCAAACATCCATCCGAATTATGCTATCAGTGATAGATTCTTCTATTAGCAAATCCCATTTCTTTCTTTCAGATGGATCCGTAGATTTTTTTTCTAACAGCGCTCGCCATTTTTGTCTTTTCATACCAAACAAACCTTACCAGAGAGTTACGTGATGATAACAGATCGTGATTCAGGACAGATTCGCTTGCAATAGCGAGATTTTTGACAGACAGGTTTATTACAGGTCTATTTTAAAATCGATGTTCTAAATCCTAAGGTGACACCAAATAATCACTAAATTTTGAATATTTCGAAAAATTAAATGATATAGTTGTGGCGATTTAAAATGATAATGGATTTAAAAATCATATCAATCAAGTTTATCATTCTAAAAGCATTTACTTTTTTTTTTATTTTTAGCCACGAAAATTGGGCAAAAGCTATATTTCCTTGAATTAGTGCATTATTTTGAAAATAATTTCAGGGCGTTTTTCACGAAATCGTTCTTAATAATAGCTAATGAAGCCAGTCGAACCAGAAATGGTGCAAGCTTATAAAAGAATGCAGGCCATCCTGGGGATTGAGTGTGCATTTCATATAATGACCTGGATTTAACTTTTAACAAGTTTTTTCGTACAGAAATGTTGATCAATTGGTCTTTTTAATTTATAACAGTTTGTGCTACGAATGAAAAATTTAAAATTGTTGATAATTTTCCTATAATTTCACATATTTTTCGAAATGGTTGAAATAGATCAATAAATAATTCCGATTCCGATAATTTTTGAATTCCTCTATAAATCACTTGGAACAAACATAGATTCTAACGCAGTCTCTAGTTCGGAAAACCTTCCAACGTACGTGAAATCTGGATCAATTTTTTGATATATTACGCGAACTTTTAAAAGAAGATTTATTTGTACAAAATACAAAGTTAAGTGAAAAGACCTTATTAATAACAAAAACGAAAAATTTTATGAACAAAAGGTCAATTCATTAATGAACAATAAACAATACATAGTAGTTTTTAAAATTATCTGATTAAAGTTAATACAAAAAATTAATCAGTAAAAAACTTCAAAGAAACTACTGGAATTCATATGGCGCACTTCATGAGGAAGATTAGAATAAATGATTTCATCCAGAATTATGAAAATCAAGCGTTTATACGTGTTCCTTCCAGACCACTATGCATAAAACACAGCTTCTTTGTTACCTTCTGCCAATCCACATCACCGTTTACAAGCAAAGGAAGTTTGCCATTACATCGACGTCTGTAATAGTGGTGAATTAAGAAATTAAATTAAAAAAATTTAAGTACGTGAAGAAATTCGGAAAGAAAAACATACACCATAGCTCGAAAATTGTTACGCCCTCTCTTAGCCCATTCATCAGCTTGATAAATCGGTTCTGGAATCGATATAGACTGGTTGACGATCTGATGCGTGAAACACAAAGCCATCATCAAAGACTGTGCTTCATCCATGGTCAGATTAGCTTCGTTTATAGGAATCGTATATGATGGCATTTTTCCTGTACCCTAAAGAAAAAATAAAGGAGAATTTTAAAACCATCCATTTCCATTTAGCCAAGATAACTCGTGGGCAAAAAAAATTATACTTTGATTATTTTATGCGATTGCATATAAAATTCCGTAACATCAGCACGTGTGACATCTCTGTCGATCACAGTTAACGGAGGACAATTTTCCAATTTACCATCTGCAATAATTATTACTCATTATGACATTCAAACAATGAAATAAATTCGAATAAATTCGAAAAATAAATTCGAATAAATTCATAATTTCAAAGTTCAAACTGGAAAATGCTTGATAAAAAGAATGAGAGAAAATTCTTTGCCATCATAAAGATATGCCAAATATTACCTTTTTCAATCGCAAATCGTCTATTATGCCGCTTGCAAGTAATGATACATACTATTTTTGGCGTACAACTATTAATTCCACGTTGGGTTCTAAAATTTTCTATACCGCTACGTATAGAGTTAATTTCCTCCTGCATTACCTGAATCAAAATTGCACTATATAATATTTTGGAAAGTAAAATATGAAAAATAAAATAAATATTTTTTCAAAAAAAAAGCACCATTTTGAATTGTCCTTCAGAAACCCCATCTCGAGTGATAATAATAAGATTAGGGACAACGCCACGATTCAAAATGAACATATTTAAAATCCAGTAAATACGTTCTTCGAGAATTGATCCGGTTACTTGTTCTTTACGAGGTTCTTGAAAAGCATAATCACCAATAAAAGTCTCTGCATATGTTGCTCCGTTAAAGCTTATCTACAAGAAAATAACTAATTGTTTTAGATATAAATTTATAATAAAATTGGCAAAAATAAAATAAAATTTTAGAATAAAATACCAAAAATACTAACTCCTAGTACGCTCGGTTCGGTAGGTTTCATTCCCAGACGAAGTTGATATTTTGACAGTGAATCAGGATGGCAAACATCATAACCAATAATTAAAGTTTTTCCATGAGAAATCCATTTGTTTAATCTAAAAATTATTATTATAAAATTAATTTTAAGTTCATTTCTATTTCTATAGAATTATTGAATCAGTTGAAAATTTAAAAATAAAAATTGGTAAATAAAATAATGAAAGATTACGCGAACGATTCGGGAATTATTCCGTAGCATTGTCCGAAATTTTTACAGTTGAGTTTATTTACAATATTTTCTAATACCAATGACCGTTTTGCACAATCGTAAACACGACTGAGTTGTATATGTTGTGTTATGATACGATACAAAACTTCGAAAAGTTTAAGATTATCTAAAAAAGTAATTTTAAAAATATGATTTCAAAATTCATTTTGATGAAAAGCATATAGCTAAAAAGTACAAATGAAGTATAAAAGTATGAATATTAGGCAATGACAAATCCTCACAATCCGCTAACAATTATAATCGAATCGCCTAAGTCTAAGTCGCCTGATCTGACAGCAACCATCATGACTAAGGCCTGTCACTTGATAAAAGCGAAAATAATTATTGGAAGTGAAATCAGCACTTATTATCGCATCCTCATTATTTATTTAAATCCCTTATCTTGATCAGCAATGATTGATATAAATAAAATATAATTAGAGGTGTTATTGTTAAGAGTTACCATGAGTGTCATTTCTGGAGTCGATATACATAATGAATACATGTGAATTTTTCACATCTTCCTTTATCATTTTGATAAATGGTTCCAATTTTTCAAATTGAATATTTTCAATCGTTGGCTCATTAAGTATGAGCCCTTTTTTGTGACATTCAGCGATCAAAAGTTTAGTGAAATTCCTTCAATTGCAGTTATTTACCTTTTAAAAAAAGTGTACATATTTTTAAAAAAAAGTTTTACAGGTGAAAAAAGTGTATTTACATTATATTATAAATAAATTACAAAATGAAATGGACAATATTACTAACTTCACTGCTTCTGCTTCTCTACCATCATCATACAGAATATACCAATTATTTAATTTAGCAGGAACCAAATATTGGCCAGCTAATCGCCAATTCGCCTAAATATCATAAAATTGAAAAGAGCAAAATACAATTTTACGTTAATTGGAACTAACATTTATATCGTCAACTTCGGTTAAAATCTTCTTTTCCATTTTACTCGAATAGAATATTTGGGGTAGATCTCGCCGGTGACCGATAACCTAAAATATTCAAAATGGTTTGAAGTCTTATCTGTATCATTCGAAAAATGTTATACTGAATGATTAAGGAAGTATTTGAAAAAACCACGAAATTAAATTAATTATGAATTAAAAAAAAAGCAAATACTTCTATCGGGAAATTATTGACACGAGTGCCGAATGCTTCCATATATGGATTATAACGACATTTTTCATGCAAATTCAATGCTTTAAGATTTTTTGAAATATCGCTAAATCTTCTGTCGGGTAGAACTGCACATATCTATGATTATTAAAAAATTAAGAATTTATTCTTTAATATTTCCGTAATATACTACAAAAATTTAGGATTTAAAAATATAAAATATAAATAACTTCAATTGATTCTTTTATCTGTGATGAATTATGCTTTTTAATTGGAACTCGTTGCCTCGGTAGAACATATAACAATTCGATCGGAAAATATGACAAATTTTTACCTTTCTTGACATAAACTGATGGCAAATCCCCTCTGAAAAAAAAAGAGATTAGGGAGACTAAAAGAGACTTCTTCAGATACGATGTACTTACCTAACCATAAATCCTTGCTTTTCATAAAATTCTAACATCGAAATGCTGTATTCCAAATTTTTTTGAGATCGCTTTTTATAAATATTCCTCTTCGTATTTTCTAATGAAAATCTGAAAGTAACATTAATGATTATTATTGCTGCAAATAATTGCTCAATTCCAGAACAATTCTATTCTATTTACTTAATTTTTTCCACCGGTTTATCTGAGAGACCAGAAGCAACAAACGTTTCCCCATTGCAATGCTTCAGACGCAATCCTGCAATCCATTTAATTAGTACAACATTCTGAATAACAAATAAAAATTCAAATACTGAATTCATTAACCAAAAATCTAAAATAAAAACTTTATTTTTCGCAATTTTTTCGAACTTTTTTCCATTTTTCATTTGAAGTGAATAAAAGTGAATAAATAAAAATCTCAAGTATTTTTCGTACTCTTTTTATTCTTTTTATTCGAACGTTTAAATTCATGGCATAAACAAATAAATAAATGATGAAATTAGAAATTATCATACAATATCAGTCAAAATACCTTCGATGATATAGTTCACTGAACTATAAAATTTTTTAAACCGAGATTCATTCATTGGAGGAATTGGCGAACTTTTGGTGATAGATTCAAGCATTTCGATTAAAGGAATATCGTCGAAAAATATAGCATATTTTGCTAAAATATAAAATGGTTGAAAATACAAGCAACAAACAAAAAAAAAATTTTTCTTTTTGAAAAAATCAAAATCAAAATGCTTAAAACATTAAATAATGAAATTATTCAAGAAGTAAAATATTTGCTTTTCTTTAGGGAATATACTTTAAAAAAACGCGATATTTATTGCTGTTAAAAATTCTAAATTCTAATTCTAACGCTAAAATTCTAATTTTTATTTTTCATTCAAAATTCAGTTTTTCTGGAAATCTGTGATTCCCAAAAAGAAATTTGAATAAAAAGGAAATGTGGCAAAAAAAAATTGAAAAAATTATTAAATAATACCATCTAAAGCCAAAGCTGGTACGATGCTATTATTTTCAGAATATTGAACAAATCGGAGTCCTTTATCAGCTCCAGAAATTAATATTCTTCCATCGCTAAGCCTTTCACTTCTCAGACCATATTTTTTCCCGTCCACAATGAACAATTTTCCGCACCCAAATGCATAGTGCGTGTTCCTGAAATTCAGTACTCTTGAGAAAATCAAAGAAAAAAAAAATTGTTATGAACAAAAATACCTTTGCAATGCATAATTGTTAGTAAGAATTTCAAAAAACTGTCGCAATGATCGATCCTGTTTTGAAAGATCTCTATCGATAGAAGTCTGATAATCGCGTATATTGAAGCTATGGGCATATTCCGTGCAAGGTTTTATACTAACTCTTACTAAATTGGTGTTTTCCATCAATTTCTTTAATTCCGTATCCATTTGTCCATGCGAAATCGTCATGTCCGACTAAATTTAATAATTTAATAATTCATGCAATTATGCATAAAAACTTAAAGTGATAAAATAAATTTAAAACTATCATTATTATAGTATTCGATTTGTCGTCCAATTATCGATGTTTAACAAAAAATTTGACGATCAAACACGAACCGAACAGTCATAAATTGGTTGGTTTGTGAAAATGGTATTCGACATATCGTATAAATAAGCCGCACTGTCGCTTATTAGATTATATAATTCAAATGCCAGTCTTACTAATAACATACATTTACGATGTCGTACTGTCATTGAATAACTGAAAAACTGGAATTGAAACAAACAAATTAATTTTAAACAAACATATGCGAAACATGAAAAATATGGAGAACAAAAGTTGAATAAGTGGTATCGAGCCAGGTCAAGTACCGCAGATTCCTACTCTTGACGCAATTCTATCATTAGAAGTGAAATCTACGTGATATCTGTGGCACTCTTTCTTATGAATACGATTTCATTCCAGAAGCCAGAGACAAATAAAACTGCATATGATGAGTAACATTACGAATATTATTAAAATAAATAATTGTGGAAAAAATTTTTAAATAATTTTTTAATTTTTAAATAAAAAAATTAAAATATAAAATGCAAAAATGAACTCGTCTCTTTCGCCTCTACAAATATCGCGTTTTTCTCCGGATTTTTTTATTGTGAATAACTGTACATCATAACGAAAAACAGTAAGATTTTCAATTTCCAATGGAAACAAATTCGTTGTTATTAAAATATTTCTTTTTCCAACTGCTGGAGCTAATTTTTTCGCCATTTCACAACTTTCTATTTCATTTTTCGATGAACTGAAAAATATATTAATGAAATTTTTAAAAATAAATTCCTATAAGAAAAATTTAGAAAATTATGTTGGAATAACACAATAAAAGCAATAAAATCTTTGTCACTTTGACTTTTATATTTAAATATAATTTAAATTATGATTTTAAGTGATATGAAATTTAGCTCCGATCGTGATTCATTTTTTTGATCTTTCATTGAGCTGTACGACTAAATAACAAAATTAAATGGTACAAAAATTTATCTTAAAACGGCGAATCGTATGTAGCAGCAATTTTGCTTCGGCAGTACAATTAACAGAGAAACAGAGATCGAATTTAAACTATCGAAGCATCTCAGTGATTTAAACATTTCGCAGTTAAACATTTAAAAAAATATTTTTAAAGTGTCTTTAAAAGTTGGTCAAACCATGTTATTAGAAAAAATGTTGAGACCACGGACGAAAAACGAACTATTTGAAAGAAATTACTAGAATAAACGATAACATATTTCAACTGTTGGATGCACGGGGTAATAGCGGAGAAAAAGAATAAAGGAATGAGGACGTGGTGCGATCCTCAACATGAAGACGACTGCTGCAGTAAACGACCAATAGTCGAAAATAGTCTATTTCGTCTGCTCATTAACCATAAATTCCAATTATATGATTACATTTACCAAGAAATTAGTCTGTTAATTAATTAATACGTGTGGGAAAATGTTCGCCTCTTTTTTTGTTGAGCACACTACATATAGTATAATATAACTCCATCTAAATTTGAATTTAAACCAGGGAGTATATACCAAATATTCACGTGTCAGAACTATTGCTTCAAATAAATTCGTCATTCGATTTATTGTCTTCAGTGGATATTGTGACGCTATAATGGATCCTGGAATAGAACGATCTGTCCAAAAATCTGGCAGGTGATACTGGCGACTCACCTGTACTTCTGTCGCCAAGTGACTCTTCGACATATTTGTCCAGTGCGATAAGGCAGTAGATCGAGTTTAACCAGTAATGGCGAGGATCCTTTTAAAAAAAGTCTCCTAATGTGGAGGAAATCGACATAGGTTATGGATATCGTTTTTAGGCATTCAAGAGGTGTGTAAATCACTCGGAAACAATGCATGTATTTGGTATTTGGTAAACTTAGAAAGAATGGTAAAAAAATTGTAAACTAGATCAAACCATTAATACATACTGATTACCATTACAGAACATTGTTGGTTAGGCAGTCTTCTTTATAGTCCGTCATATAAATTCACACATCCCTTCCTAAATGCTAAATCTTGTGATGGATACCAAAAAGGCCAATATAAGAGATATAATCAAAAGAAATTTTGAATACGTAGGCAGCACAATGGCAAACACTTGAAATATGGTGGAAAAAAAACTGGCCTCAATTAGTTTCAAATATGAGTGGGATTGGAATGCTTGAAAATGTCTTATTATAATCGCCAGCCAAACAAATGGTGCATGTTTTGAGACGACCATCCACCTTCATATGCATCGATGGTACTGGTGGCCTCTTTGCCGTAAGAGAATTTATGAGCATATTTCGCCAAATGCTATGATGCCAAGTTATAGACGACATGGAAAACAACAAATCCCAATCCATAATTTGATTGAAATAATCAAGAGAGAGTCTTGCCAATGTATATCAATAATGGCCAAGAATGCCAAGAACTTTAAAAGGCGTAAAACTCATAATTCACTCGTAATGAAAAGAATTCTATTTCTTTCATATTATTTATAGGAATTTGAAATAATTCAACTGATAACTGATTATGATTATGATAAGCGATGCTATTGGAATTTGGAATTATAACTATAAAAAGCTTACTTCAACGAATTAATGCATTTCAACCGATTGTCCTTGTGTTTCGAATCAGAAACTGAATACATTGAATTTAATGAAGAATTAAAATTTATCGAATCCTTCAAATACCGATTCTTTCCACTTTTTTTATTTCCTCTCATTGGTTTTCCTAAATTTAATAGAATAATCAATTTTATTATCAATCATTTAATCAACTTCAAAAATACGTTATCATAATTATTAATTACATTAATACTAATAATAATAACATTAACAATAATAATGATAGTTAAAAATAAAAAGAATTAAAATTAACAATTAAAATAATTAAAAATAATAGTAATAAGATATATGATTGTTGGCTTCCCGTGTAAAACAAACTAAAGATAATTAATCCTAATCATTTTCCTTGGTTTCAATGGATTTATGACCGATATCTCCCTGCAATCGAATTTTCTCTTAAACAGTTGGCAGTGGCCACTGTTATTTGTTCTTGATCTGGTTGGACTTTCTGTTGCCGCTCTTCGTTCTTTCCCTGACATGATGCGGTATTAAGATTCTTGGAGCAATTCATACAATTTACTCTACTACAACACTCACTTGTCCCTACAGCCGAGTTTTAAGCATCGAAAGTATCTTTGAAGCATCCTTAGGAGTTGAAGCCTCTCTTCATAAAAGGCTATCTTTTTATATTGGTGACTCCAATGTTCCTTCTCACAAAATATATATTTCTTAATCTTCATCTTCACGGCTAATTCACTAGTTGACTTGATACTCTGACTGCTCCATATCATGACAATCTTTCTCTTTAAAGTTACTTATAGTCTTATACTTCAGCAACTTTTTCTTGTTACCACTCCTTTTGCTTAATAGGAATTTTCCTCTTCACAGGCTTTTAATATATTCCTTAATTCGCTTATATCCCATGTTAAACGTTTTCATTTTTTTTCTAGCACATATATCGGCAATTTAGCCATGTTCAAAATCGAATTACCTTGTTGATACCTTCGCCTAAAGATGTCAAATGGCGAAATATTCACTTCAAATTCTTGCGAATGTCCTTTATATCCTTTGTTTTTGGGCTTAATTCTTTTAACTCTTTATATAATTCATCAGTAATAATGGTTTTATCTCTATATCTGCTTTCCAAAATGTTCCACACATTCCTATATGATTCACCATCCATAGTGAAGCCTTTCACCAATTCCTTTGAGACAAGATATGAGATTCCTAAGGTTTATCAACTGGATTAAGATTTTACCTTGCAGTGGTCGACAGAAAATTATCTTTCAATGTGACCCAACACCTTATTGACCTATAGAATTTCATCAGTCGTAACTTCAACAGCTTTATTACTGGTTGAAGTTTCAGCACCTCCTCTTCTGTATTTTCCATCTTTATTGTCCTTATTGTGACCTTAATGTCGCTTATTTCTATTGAAAGATCTAATTATGACGTCCAAATCTGAAGTTACTTTACGGTCCTGTTGACAAATCGCAAGTACCCATTGGGCTAGCTGCCATCAATTTATACTCTTCTATGTCAGCATCCCTATTGATATTGGGAGGATCATTTATCAGGAATCAGCCTACTAGACGTATTAGCAAAAATTTTTGCTTCCCTACTACTCAATAGACTTATGGAAGTACGGGACAGCAGGATGCGCCCTAATCAACCTGGTTTCAGAGAGCGGTTGTGCTGACCAGATATTCACGTTAAGAAGGGTGTTGAATATGGCTTCAGATATTTGCAATCCACTGTCATGTGTTTCGACTTTGCGGCTGCCTTTGATTCAATTGATAGAAAGACGCTTCGGGAGGTGATGGAATGCGACGATGTTTGGAGAAGATCATTCGACTCATAAAGGCAATTTATAAGCGCACGTCGGCGCAGATCTATGTATATGGGGACCTGACAGACTCCTTCAAAATAAGAAGTGGTGTCTAGGCTGCGACCTTTCCCCTACAATATTCAACTATGCGATAGACTGGGTAATGGACACCCCTTATCGGCACTCAAGGGGTGTCCAAATCAGTCCAGAGCATCGTATCATAGATCTTGAATACGCTGATGATGTTGTCCTTTTTGCTGACAGTTATGATGAAATGCAAATAACGCTAAATAACATGCCAGCAATTGCACCGACAATCGGATCAATGTAAATAAATGTAAATAAAACGAAAGCTTTTTCGTCTTATATGCAAGAAACTGACGAAAATGCCTCTTTTTGTAAATTCATTGCCGGTTGAGGAAGTGCCCGATTTCAAATACCTTGGTTCCACTCTAATACCAAATGGACAGGCAAAAGATGATATTACAACTCAGATCACGACAGAAATGGGTTCTTCCGATTGACGAAACTTTTATGGAATCGTCGTGAAATCACCATAAAAACAAAAGTCCGCATCTATATTGCCGTTCAATCTTGTTATATGGTTCTGAAACATGGCCAATGAGAGTGGAGGATATCAAGAAGTTATCTGTCTTTGACCACTCTTGTCTAAGGTACATATTACGTCGAGCGGATAAAATATCACAACATCGCATCCATTTTCGTTTAAATACCACTCGCATAAATAATGTTATCACATAGCGCTGCCTTCGCTGGTTATAGCACATTCTCCGTCGTCCACCACAGGAGTTGACGCATATTTCGTTATTTGCTAAATCATGTGATGGTTGGCGTCAAAAGCGAGATGGGCCAATCAAGACCTGGACTGATATGGAAAGGAAAAATTTTGAAGGCATAGGTGGACCAGCAATATATGGACCTGGACGATGAAAAAAGGAATGGCTTCCATTACTGTCGACGATACCGCGCCGCTTGGAAGCGTATTACCCTTATAGCCGTTCGAGCCAGCCTAACTAGTAATGGTGAGAGTTGCTAGGAAGAAAAGATCATTTATCAATGCCTCCCATTCTTTTATCCCATTACTTATATATTGGGCCAGTTGGCTGATATCTGACTTAAGTTGTCCTATTTCGTCCAGTCCAGCTGTGCAAGGAGATCTGGTAGTCCATTTTTGTAAGGTTTTAAAATCTTCCACTTTATTTGAACATTCAATTAATTCGATTGTGTAACGGTCAGTTCTCAATTTCAATAACGAGACCATTTCGACAATCTTGGGTCATAGCAAAACAAAGAAATTTTCAAAAAACAAATTAATAAACTTAAAAGCAATGACGACATTAAGTTGAAAATTACAGAAGCTTCCACAAAAATTCAAAAAAATTTTAAAACAATAAAGCTTCCCTGAAAATCGATCCTTGAATGTCGATATTGCCCTTCCTTTTTCTGTTATTCTTTCATGTACAGAAAACTTAGCAGTACGAATTTTCGGTGGAAGTACAGTACAGCGATTCCACTTCCAATATCTAGCTTTACAAAATTCCTTCGAGGATCCCCTCCACTGTATTTTTCTGTATAGTTTTAATAAATTTCCTGCTAAGCGGGAAATCTTATTTCTCAACAATATTATTCAATATTACAAATTTAATAAAATATTATAAATTCTGCGGCCAGTCTTCTCTTCTTAATTATCTCGTTGCGAACCCTCAAACTTGGATAATTGCTATTAATACATAAATATATATAAATAATACAAATATTGTCAAATCCTACAATACTGATGCAGTATATCAAATTCCCGAATGGCAAATCTTTTGGGAGATGGATGAGGCCCTTAGCAACACTACACAAGAACAAAGATGACAATTATATCTACCCAAGAAAGATTTCCAACCCAATGTTTCCTTGAACACCAACCCATTTCCCACATCTCTTTCCCACTACCAACCTCCCTGCCCATAAAACAAACCTTAAAATCACCAAAAATAGTGTCTTGGGAATTTATATTTAATTTGAGATGGGAGGAGAGAAGATTTATGGTCCTTAATTCTTTCATAATAAAGGGTACATTGTACCACTTATGAAGTACTTTATACTTTAGTATTATTCTGGTTATTCTGTGATATTTTCTAATATCTTCTCCGCTTTTTTTCACTAATTCTATTGCTGAGAAAAAGATGCATAGCAGGAGTGATGCGAATAACCAGCTTATATTTGGAACTTTCTTCGCCATTCGGCGACAGCCATTTCTTAAAGAATTTAGTAGGTAACGAAATATGCATCAACTCTTGTGGTGGATGACGAAGAACATGCAATAACCAGCTCTATAACGTTCTGCGATAACATTATTAATGGAAGTGGTATTTGAAGGTGGATGCGATCGTGTGATATTTTACCCACTCAGCGAACCTTGGCGAACCGCTAAAATTATCTTAGACATGAATGGTCAAAGGCAGATAACTTCCTAATATTCTCCACTCACAATGGTCATGCCTCACATCCATATAGCAAGATTTAATCGTGGCGGACTTTCATTTTTATGGTGATTTCACGACGTCTCCATGAGGTTTTTCGTCAACCGGAAAACGCATTTAGCTGTGACACAGTAATTTATCTTTTGCATGGCCATTCGGTATTAGTGTGGACCAAAGGTATTTAAAATCTGGCACTTCTTAACCGGCAATGAATTTACAAAAAGAGACATTTTATCAGCTTCTTGCACATAAGACGAAAAGGCTTTCGTTTTACTTACATTGACTCTGAGTACGATTCTCGCAGCAGTTGCTAATACGTAATTAATTAGTGTTCATGAATCCTACTTTATTAATTTTTTTAAGGATATTATTATGCTCACCAATGTTATGACAAATCTTGAAATGTGACGATTCGAAATTCTAGAATTATACCATTACTGAAGGGTATACTCAGTGCATTTGCCATTAGTACGACCAGAAATTTTACCGAAAAGTCAGAAATATAAATGAATTCCTAGCATAATGTTTCCTATAAGATACAGATTTCGAAGCTTGTCGATTAGTCTAAGTCTAATATTCATTCATTCTGCTATTGTCCCCTCATAATTCGTTTATTGTATGAAGAATGGCTCGATTTATGGCACTATGTTTTCTAGTACAGCTCAAGAGTGACTGAAAAAGATTAATTCAATGGTTCTTTCGAAAATGAATGCTGGGGTTCCACTCCCGGCAGGAATAAATCTGTCCATGCGAATGATTCTAGTAAATCACCTCAATTATTGTTCATCAAATACTTCTCCGGTAAAATCTGCCCGATCGACTAGCAGCAAATGAATAGAGCGATAGCAATTAGCAGTAATAAATATACGCGCAGAAAATTTCTTCGACTGGAATTTTTTGAAGTAATTACCGCTAAAAAAAAAATCTAAGCATAATTCATGCCTAAAATGCCAAAATTAGATTCCTCTAAAAGCCAAAAATCCATCCTACACAAATCCATCCTAGCAAACCACGTTAATAAAATCACATTACGCCCAAGCATACGATCAATTTTGCACCTACTAACAGTCGGTTGCGGATTCGACTGTAAATTCAGGAGGATGTTTTTTTTTCGGAATGGAAATTCCAACACTGATAATTCATTGATAAGACTGGATTGTTGCACTGAACAACAGGTATAGCACAAGTAATTTTTGGTGATAAAGCACCTAAATAAAGAATTATGGAAGATTGGTTTGGCGACGGTGCGAATTATGGAAATTCGTAGAATTTCGATTTCGTCATCAATTCAAATATTTGGTTTTATTATTATAAAAACAAAAAAAAATATTCGTGATTGGCAGCATTATCAAATTTTATCATATCAGCCATACACTATATAATCAATAGCTTTCGTGATATAATTTGCAATGAAAATATCAATAAAAATCATGGAATCGCATGGATTCAGTTAGGAAGTCTTCCGTAAAACTATGATTGATTCATCAAATCATCGTTGTATTTTCCTAATAATAAGCCAAAATGGAATAGCTGAAACAACTGAAAAAAGGCTTCTATCAGTGTTAGCGATAGCGTCCGAGCGAACAGCTTGGAGATGCCTTATCATTTTATCATTATCATTATTTCAATTTAGTTAGCCTAGTCAGTAATGGTGAGAGCTGTTCGAAAAAGAAGAAGCGTTGGTATCAGATCGTTTAGCTTGGAAATGAGAGATGTTGAGGAGGAAAAAAAAGAATAGCTAATGAAAAAGAATAGTTGACGATTTCATTTATAGGCAAAAAATTTAACAAAATTGGATTGAATTGGATTGAAATTGGATTAAAAATTTAACAAAATTAAAAAATTCCACGTTTCTATTTTGTAATCGATCCATGAAATAATTAGAAGATAAGATCGATGTATAAAATATGGAAATGCAGTCGCATTTTAGAACCATTTGAACGATGCAAAAATTTATCACCAAAGAATTGGTTCATAAATTTTTCACCTATGGTGATTTTTACTTTTACCCAATCTAAATTTGAATACTACTTTCTAACTCTATGGTTTCAGATTCATTCATTTTTGTTCTTCTATTTCTGTTTTAATTCTGAATTTATTTTTTTTTGAAGCAAAACTGGTTTAGGGTTTCCTCTGGTGACTGTTAATTAGAAACCGAGAAACCGAGTTATATAATTAGAAATTTTTGACAGGAATTCATTTGGCGATAAAAAGCAGAAGTGGATCACTCGGATCTTTTTAACCGTGCATTTATTCTGTCTTGGAGGGAAGCCGAATCGTTGCCTGTCAAAGATAATTTGAGCCAAATGTGAGAATTTAAGAAAGCAGATAAACAATACAAATTTTCTTAAAATTTGCAAGTACTTTTTCAATGCCCTTGTTTAAATTGTTTACCTTATCAAAATTTATCATTATCGTTATCAAAATTTTGTCTACCTTTTTCACTTATCAAACTTTACGAATATTTAGTTGTTGAATGCATCAGTTTAGTTACACATTGAAAAGTTCTTACTTTCTCTCCTACTTCTTTTTTTTCAAAATTAAGAAATATATTATTATTATATTATTATATTACATTTTTATTACATATTATATTATTACATTTTAAATATTTATATATATATATATATATATTTATTAATTTTTTTTGACTTTGATGCATAAAAGTATAATACAAATATTTTAAGACATAATATTTAATCTAAAATTGTGCAAAATTGAGGAACAAAACTGAAACTAACTTTCTTAATGAATTTATATAGTTAATGGTTATTTAACAAATATATATTTATTTAAAAACGTAAATATAATTTAAATATATATTTAAATATATAAATATATAATTATATCATACTTAAAACACATTTTAAGTATGTGATAATTGATAAGTGATATGATCATATTCAAATTTCTGGTATATTCGCTTTCTTGCTACTCAACTTATTGAAGTACCACAAAGCGGCCTATAGTTAAATGCTGGCCTCTATCACCAAGCGATCTAAAAAACCGAGTTGTAATATGATAATTTTAGCTTTGGCTAAATGTCTTCGAATCTTAAAATTAAGGATTGGTTTGAAAATAAAAATAATCTTTCGCTTGTTGCCGAAGGAAAAACGAAAAAAATTTGGCGATCTTCATTGAATGATCAAAATGATTTTGAAAAAGTATTTTTATGAAAAAAATTCTTTAATATCAAATATTTTTTATTGATAAGAATTTTTTAAAAAAATTTTTTTATTTTTAGTATGTATTATTGGAAAGTAAAGATCAAATAACAGCATTTAACGCTCAGCGATGTGATATTATTCATGGAAAAGCTAAATCAGCAAATGCGACTACATGCAATATTTTCAAATATCTTCATGCATTAGGTAAGTTTTGCAAAAATTTTCATTAAATTTTAGAATCAAAATTATAATTTTTATATTTAATAATATTTTTTTATTTTTATTTTTAGAATATCTTTTAAAATATTTTCGATTTAATGATATATAATAATATTTTCATAACATTAATATTATGAAAATAATATTTAATATTTATATTGAAAAAATCTTCTTCTTCTAACAGTTTTCACCATTACTGGTTAGGCTGACTCCAACGATAAGACGCTTCCAAGCGGCGCGGTCTGATGCCATCGTCGACAGTAATGGAAGCCATTATTGAAAAAATCATATTATTATTATTTAATATTTAATATAACATTTTAATATTTTATTTATACCAATATTAATGTAATGTTTTTTAATATTTTAAATATTTTATGGTATTTTTTTTTAGGATTAGAAACTCATTTCGTCGAAACTTTTAATGAAAATTCATTTATTGCATTAAATTGTGTGATGGTTCCTTTGGAATGGGTAGCAAGACGAATAGCAACTGGATCGTTTCTTAAGCGAAATCCTGGCGTTCCTGAAGGCTTTGTATTTTCAGAGCCAAAAATTGAGATTTTTTATAAAGTTTCTATTAAATAATAATAATAATAATAATTGATAATAATAAATAATAATTAATAATAATAAAATCTAATAGGATCTAATATGTTATGAAGTTTAGGATGATGCAAACAATGATCCCCAATGGTCTGAAGAACAAATTTTGGCTCGAAAATTTATTTTCAATAATATTTTAATTGGAAAAAATGAAATTGATTTAATGAAATTACAAACTGATTTAGTATTTCGTTTACTTGAAAAAGCTTGGGCATACGCTGATTGCACATTAATCGATCTCAAAATTGAATTTGGTATTACTTCTAAAGGTTTAGCTTTAATTATAATTTTTTTTTAAAATGATAAGAATGATAAAAAAATAAAAAAAAAATTTTTAAGGAAAAATAATAGTAGCTGATGTTATCGATAATGATAGTTGGAGAGTTTGGCCGGCAGGTTATCGCCAATTTCAACTTGATAAGCAATTTTATCGAGATTTAAAAGTTGTTGATGACACAGCTATAAATCAACTTAAAGAAAATTATAATAAAGTAGCAAATATTACTAAGGTTATGTTTCAAATTTTAGATATTTTATGCAATATCACTTATCATTTTTTTTTATCATTTTTCTCTAAAACCAAGTGATTACAATACTTTGAATATTTTGAATACTCTAATTAATGCAAATTTTTATACTATTTCAAGGAATTTAATAGAGATTCCATTGGACAAGTTGTAATCGTTATGGGATCCTCCAGTGATTCTAATATTGCTAAATCGATCAGTGAAAAACTTGAATACTTCGGGATAAAATCTGTTCAGCGAATTGCTTCTGCGCATAAAACCACTCTTAAGGTCCTCGATATTATAGCTGAATTTGAAAGTAAACTTCTATGTTCTATTTTTACTTGGAAATATTTTTATAGTAAACTTCTGCAGTAAATAAAATTCTCATTGGCTTTTATAAAATTAGTAAAAAATTAAAAAATTTGGCCATTATTGCATATATAATATAAAATAGCATTTGTAATATATGCTATCAGTGAAGTTACAAGATTCAACAATTAATGATCTGATAAGGAGTGTTATCTTTTATCTTTTATCATATTGTGCCAGGAAATAGCATACCAACGGTATTCATCGCTGTCGCTGGTTTAAGCAATGGCTTAGGACCTGTAATAACGGGCAATACATGCCATCCAGTTATCAACGTACCTAATCTTAATTCTGAATGGGGCAAAAGCGATCTGTGGTCATCTTTGAGAATGCCTTCAGGTAGTTGTTGATCATAATTATGTTTCTTTTCAGTTCAAAGTGCTCTTATCGAATGCCTTCGACATGGAGTAGAATTTAATTTTATCTTTCAGGTATGGGATGTACGACGGTTTTAAGTTCGGATGAAGCTGCAATGGCTGTTGCAAGAATATTTTCTTTAAATGATTACATGATTTATGGACGAATTGCAGTTAAAAGATATCAAAATTATCTATCAATTTAAATCCATTTTATAAAATTTTGTAAAATTTATTAGAATTTTTATTAAAATTCTTAAAAATTTTTTTTATATTATTTAAAAATTTAAATTTTTAAATAAAATAAATTTTTAAAAATAATAAAAATAGTTGAATAAATTTTCCAATAAAATTTTTTTTTTTAGTACAACGCACTTATATTGCAATAAATTTTTCCATCATATTATCACCTATTAGAAGTACCAATTTTCATATAAGTTTTCTTTAAAAAAAAAAACATCATTTGCAATAATCTAATTTTTGAAATAAATTAAATATTGCATAAAATTTATTCAAATTTCAGCGTTTTTACAATATTTTTAATGCTTTCTTTATTATATATTTATTTCATTAATTAAAATCCTTTAATTTTATTCCGTTACCATCTTGTTTCCATTAATTTTTTATTCTTCGTATTCTACTTTTATTCTTTATTTATTCTTTTCTAAATTCAAAATGTCCTAAGGCTAAATATGAAGCAACGTGGAACTAGCCAGAAAGCCGGAAAGTTAGCCTTAAAAAAGCCAACATTTAAATGAATACGGATAGCCTGTTCGATGGAAAGAATTTTCAAACTAAATCACTATTAATAAATAAATTAAATTGAAAATATGTATATTTTTCCTTAAAAATAAAAATTATTCAAAATTATAAAAGAAAATTTGTAAAAATTATAAAAGAAAAAGAAAAACAAAATTATAAAAGAAAAAAATTTTTAAAAATTTTTATTTAAATAAAAAATTGATTTATACTAATATTATTTTAATATATATTTATTTTAATATATTAATATATTATTTATAATTAATAGAATAAAAAGATTTTATTTTTTTCTTTTCTGTTAAAAATTTAATCGAATTATCTTTTATTTATAATAAAGAATATTTAAATGTATTAACAAATAATCGTTACTTTGCCAAAGCATAAATTATACAAATGCGATTTTTACAAAAATATGGCAAAAATTAATCATCAAAATTAAAATTATGTCGAACGGTATAATTCAATTGATTGGTTATTTTTAATAACCAATTGGAGAATAATTTTTGTATGCTTCTACGGAAGCGAATAAATAAATTAGTAAATTTCCAGTGCTAAGTGAGTTATTATTACATTGGATTACATAAGTATGATTTATAAAAGTTCGAGATAATTTTATGCTTTCCATAGTAATCTTTTCAATATTAGGTGATAAGAAAAGTGATAAGAACAATTTTATATTCAATATTAGGTATAAATATATTATATAATATAAATATATTCAATATTAGGTGATAAGAACAGTGATAAGAACAATTTTATATTCAATATTAGGTATAAATATATTATATAATATAAATATATTCAATATTAGGTGATAAGAACAGTTTTATTGCAAAGTTGAATTGAATTGAAAACTGTAAATGAATAAAAATGCATTATGAATAAATTATTCTTCATATTTTATCAAATAATTTTTATCAAAATGAGCATTATCAATAGTCATTATCAATAATCACTATAGGAATTATGTTCGATTGTTGATAAAAATCAGCTATTGCCAATATTTTTAGCAAAATGTATAATATCAAAAAAATGCTTCGAAAATCAAAATATATTAAATATATCAAATTAAAATTAATATAAAAATTTAAAGAAAACAGAAACTCGATTTTCTTATAATATCCAAAATATTTTGCTGGAGAATTTCACCAAGAAAATTCAAGTAAAAAAATCCATCAGTTAGAAAATTATGGAATTACAAATGGATCGCCAACATCATTCGCGAAATACTTAAGAACTTCGCCCTTCTAAACTCCTTTATAGTTCTTTCGTTCTTTCGTTTTATTAAAATAAAATATGTCAAACGCATATTAGAATTAGTTCGAATTGATTTTAACGGTTTATGGTAGAATTATGGAAAATATTTAATTTTACAATTTTCCTAGAATTTAATGAAATAAAATATAAAATAAAATATAAAATAAAAAACATAAAATAAAAAAAACAATATTAAAATATTGAATAAAATAATTTCGCTTGATTATCAAAATAAAGAAAATCATATTGTGTGAGAAATTTTCAAAAATTATAAAAGATATAAAATTGCAAAAAAATTATGAAAATTATAAAAGAATTTCAAATTTTTACAAAAAAAAGAAAAAAATTTAAAAAGAATTTAAATTTTAATATATTTTAATAAAATTTAAAAATTTTAAGAGAAAACTTGTAGAATCATGAAATTTTAAATTGTCACCACTTCAAAAAACCTTTTAATTTTTAATTTTTCATAATTCTTCAGAAAAATTTTAATAATATTTAAAAATTAAATAAAAAAATATTTAACAAAATAGTTTCGATTGAAAATTGTGAAATTTTTTGTTTGAAATTTTTAAAGATAAATAATTTTTCCTTGACGATTTAATAAATTTACCTTATTGATTGTTAAATAAACATCAAATTTCATATTGTTTAAATTTAGGAAGGCATAATAAAAATATAAAAATGGAAATAAAAAATAGCGCAGACTTATAAAATATATTTTTGTCTTGCTAAATTGATAAATTGATAAATATTTGTTAGATTATCGCTGTAGAAAGCATAAAGAATTTTAAGAATGAGAAAATTTCAGAAAAAAGAAGAAAAAAAAAAAATTATGGTTTTCATTTTTGGACAATTTTACGATCCTAAATAATTTAATAATAAATATTATAATAAAATAAAATAATGGAATAGTTATCGAATTTCTACTCGAAACTGATATATTTATTTTTCTATTTTTTGCTATCGCCATTAGTGATCAGGTTCGCTGGTTCCGCTGGTTCCGCTGGTTCTGCTAGTTCCGTTGGTTCTGCTGGTTCCGTTGATTCTACTGGCTCCGTTGGCTCTGCTGGTTCCGCTGGTTCCGCTAGCTATACGTCTTCAAGCTGTTCGGTTCATTCATCCATTCATCCTTTCACCGTCGAAATCCATGTTTAAATAAATCCACGAATTCGTTATAGCATCTTTTGAATTTTGTTGCGTCAATTTATCCCATGCGGAATTCGTCTGGTTCGATAAACTTTCATCTCAACTTTATTTTCGCACCTGTCGGGCCGCGGCCGCCAATTAGTATTTTCAGGCTCCTGGCATATATTCAGTTAATGCTGTCGAAAAAAGCAGATGGTGGGAGGGAATGAGGAGGGAGGTGGGTAGGGGATGGGAGAGGTGGTGAGGTTTTGGATTTCCTTCACACTTAAAAAGTTATTTGTTTATAAAATAAAAGTTGCTGCTGGAAAAATACTTTCTCAATTTATTATTTTTAGATTTATTATTTTTGGTAAATTTTCGATCATTTTTCCTACTCCATTTGTTTTCACCTTTTTTTTTTTTCTTCGGGCGTTTAATGAAATCTTTCGATTTTTTTTAAGTTAGTAAATTTTAATAAAAATTTTATAAAAAGTTTAGGTTTTGATCTGTTTTTTTTTCCTATAACCTATTTTATTATATTCCTTTTTCCACTTTGACATATATTCACTCGTTTGTATTCGTATCATTTTAATTGATCTGTTTTCATCGATCCGATATTGATTCATTTGTTTTTTTAAATTTCATTTTTTTTTAATGGAACAAAAAAATGAAAAAATGTAAATTTTTTTTTTTTTTAGTGGAAAAAATTGAATGAAAATTGGTATTGATGATGGTGGTTAATTAAACAAACAAACAAAAAAACGTTTATTTTTTAATTTTTATTTTATTCCAAAATTCGAAGCGATTTATTGGAACTCATTTTATTTCTTCGTGTCGCAAAGGTTTGCCAATTTTGTTGCTTAAATTCTTCGTCATTCATTCATTTATTGTCGTCATTTATCATTGTTTTATCGATTATTTTCATTGATGCTATACAAACAATTGTTTTTTTTGAGTTATTTTTTCGGTTTTTCAGTTATTTAGTTGATTTGATTTAATTAGCAACGATGTCAGAAAATCCCAATTCGTGGACTCTTTCAGAAGATATTCGTAAAGAACGAGAAAAAAATAAAATTAAGGTTTTTTTTTCTTTTAATATTTTTCTCTTCTACGGTCCCATAGCACAACAGTATCGCTGTTTTTTCAGTTGTTTTTCATTAGTAAATTATTCTTTTATTTAAAGAAATAATACTTCTATCTTATTATTGTACTATTTCCTCGGTAATAATTATTACCATTCACCTTCGCTAAAGGATTCATCGTCATATTAGAAATGGAATTAACAATGGGTCCTCAGCGTCCTCAACTTTCCACCTGCCATGCCATTTTTTCTTTGTCCATATTTTATCGCTTTTGTTACCTGTTTTATATCACTGAGTAACTAGGAGATAGTTATGCCCGATTATTTCTAGCTACAAAAATTGCTGTGAAAAATTGACTATAAAATGACTATAAGTTGTGAACGATAGTTTGTCATAGTTTACACAATTCATTAATTCTTATTAGTTTATATTTTATATTTATTTATATTCTATTGAATTTGATAATTATATTTTTTCCGTTCATTACAATATTAATTTTTTTTAAATTTTAAATTTAAATTTCAAATAATTTAAATTAAATTGGCCTAAATTTTCATTTATATTCTATTTAAATCGTCTAAAAGTAAAAAAAAATTATTTAATTAAAATTAAAATTATTTAATTAAACTAATGTGGCAATATTAGTATGTGCTAATATTTTATATTTATTATATTTTATATTATATTTTAAATTGCTTATTATTATTAATACAATTGTAATCCGAAATAATTATTTAAAAAAATAAGAAAACATAATGATTGTTTTTTAAACTTTTTATTTATTTTTATTTATTTATTTATTTTTTAATTTAATTTTTAATTTAATTAACATTTTTAATATTTCAGGCAAATACTTTTAAATTTAATGCGGACTATTCGGAAAATAATTTTCTTTCTCATTTGTCTAATGCAGGTTTGTATTTCGATTTTCGTTTTGTTTTTTCTTTTTTTCATTCGTCGTAATTTTTAATTCGTGATCAACTCAAGTGCAATTTTTTTTTTTGTTCTGTTGTAGATTCTGTTGAAAAAGAATCGAAAATTAATACTGCTGAAATTCCTAAAACAGGAAGCATATTCGGTGGTTTTGGACATGGTTTAACCGCAAAGCCTTTCTCTGATTCATTGAAAAGCAATTTTAGTGAAGGTTATTTAGTATTTAGGCAATTTAGTATTTTTTAATAAAGCAAAAAAAGTTAAATTGGTTTTTTAATATTCTAATATTGGTTTTTTAATATTTTTAATATTCTTGTATAAAAGAATTTATCGAATAGCATCATTTTAATTAAAAAATTCATTCCGCGTCCACTTTCATAAATTCAGATTCATAAATTATTAAAATTTATATAAATTCAATTATAAAAAAGTACTGCGAATAAGTTCAATTATATAAGTTCATAAATTAGATTAGAACTGACAAGGAGAAATATATTTTTAAATAGTTCTTTTAATTTTAACTTTCATTTTTCAGAACATAATAATGAACGTGGGAAGAGCGTCGAAAATGAAGACGAAGCAACTCGGAAAGAGCGTAAGTTTCGCAACACGTGGTTTATTTTTTCTATCTCATTTTTTTCGTATCTCTAAATGTTTATTCCTCGTAATCACTTTCTAATTTTTCGAATATTCGTCTATAAGTTCACGTTTTATTTTTTGTTTTTTTTCGAAATTGGATTTTTCCAGGCGATAAACAAGAAAGAGATCGACTATTCTGGCGGAGGGCGGCTATGCATTCTTCGGAATTTTCTCCGATCACTGCATCTAACCCACTTTCCAGTAATTTTTTCTTTAATTTTTAATTTTGCCACAGCGTTGTTATTTTCGAGAAAATTTTTTATCGTATTAATCTTAATCAATAATTACTAAGTCAATGAAATCAAAATTTCTAGCTTTTACTTGCAGATGTTGCAAAATCAAATCAACTGAATCAAAGATTTTCGAGGCCACTGTTAGAAAACAGTGCTTATAAAAGTCCCTTTGCCGCAGGGTCCTCAAATTCTCGACGTTAATAAATTTTTTTATTTTTGTTTTGTTTATAAATTTGTCTTAAATTAAATTTTTTATAGTTTTTATATATAAATTATAAATCAATATAATTATAATTATAAATTATAAATCTATTATTAAGTTTACTTTTCAAATATATAAATATGAATTTACTATATATTCTACTGTTGGTTGAAGCAAATATTTTACTCTTATTGCTGGTAGCTCCTATTGCTCAAGTTATTATCAAGTTATTAAAAATGAAAAGATAAGCGCAATTCCAGAATTGATTAAAAATTTTCAATTTTAACAAAGAAATTTACTTAGTATTTTCATTCGGAAATGAATAATATTTAAATATTTTATATTTAAATATTTATAAATAAATATTTAAATAATATTTAAAAATATAATAATATTTTTAAAATCATATATGGAGAAATCGATCCCAATTTAAAAGAGGCAATAATATCACAAATTTGATTTAATTCCTTTTATTGTCTTTTTCTCTTCGGATGAGTTTTAATATTAGCAGATTCAATAATTCCAACAATTTCAGCTTCCTGGCCAAGATTCGGTGATCCTGTGGCAGATCCACCTAAAGTTTGTTTTTCTTTTTTTTCATTCGTAAGATACATTATTTCATTAATTTGTTTCAATCATATACGTTGATTCGGACGTATTTCAGCATATGGAATTGGTAGCTTCAGGAAGATCCTTTTCTCAAGACAGAGATGGAAATAAATGTCTATGGAATTTCGATAAGAATGATTTCGAAAAACGTATGGGTTACATTTTTGCAGTTTGTTCTAATATTCTTCCATGGTATCTACAACATTTACCGCTATAAAATATCAATAAAATAATGATTATTGATAATTATTGATTTTCAGCAATGTCGAGTGAAGAAATAGCGTTACTCAATAAAATTCTCCATAAAAAATTAGTGAATTTGCAATATGGACCCATACAGATTCATCAGTCACAGTCTGATCCAAGTTCGCCGCTCTATTCAGCCAATACCTTCGAAAGTCTTCGGCTGTAAGCGTTAGTTCTTTTTTATGGAATTTAGGTTTTATAAAATTATCTTTAACAATGGCAAACTTACTTGCCATTGCTAGCAGAAATTTTTATATTGCATATTCCTGGAATATTCCATCAGTGTGGAGCTTGCAAGTCAAGTAAATTTGTGGTAAATTATTTATTCGTTGAAACAAGGAAATTTTTTTATGGTTTAGTTTTTTTGCAGAAAAGACGAGCTGTTGAAGGCACTTCATAAGATGGGTTTTCTCATGCCATCAAAAATCCAGGAAGCAGCTTTACCTTTACTGCTCACTGAACCGTATGAATTTCATTTTTTTAACCAAAAAATTTGAACCATTTGCATTTTTATTTAGGATCGTTTTCCAACAGATTTATCAAATTTTTATAAAATATGAAATTTCAATTTTTCATGAATATGCAATATAAAGCCTTTAGGCCTCAAAATATGATTGCTCAGTCGCAGAGTGGGACGGGTAAAACAGCTGCTTTCGTTTTAACGATGTTATCTCGGGTTGTTCCTGGAAATCATTGGCCGCAGTGTATTTGCTTAGCTCCTACATTTGAATTGGCTATGCAGATTGGAGAGGTTGTGAAAAATATGAGTTGCTTTATGCCCGAAATTAAAATTCGCTTCGCTGTCAGAGGTGAAAAAAGTTAGTTTCACTGAATTAGCGAACTTCTTACTGGAAAGAATATTTGTAAAGTCCATCTGCTTTCGTTTCTGCATGAATTAAAATCCATTAACATCATTGATAAGGATATAACTGATTATTAATTTCACAGTTTGTAATTTATATAGCTATAAGGAATCTTACAAATAGAAGATTTTCTTTGAAACAAAATGTGCTATTGTTTATGTACATTGATTCATTTTTTCCCTTTCTGTGAATTTCCACTGATATTTATGTTTATTCTGAACTTCGAAATAATTTAAAAGTGTACATAAGGCATATGGTGAGGTCATCGGTTAATGAGATCAAGCGAATGCTGCCTTAAAAGGTCATATTATTTATAATTCGTATTAGCAGTTGTTAGTAATTAAAGAGATGGTGTTATTATATATTCCCAGAGGGAATTTACCATCAAGTTTCTTTCTTTCTCATATCCTATTTTAAAAAATTATGTATCGAAATCTTTTTTTTCATATTTTTTCTTCATTTTTGAAGATAGCGTTTTCATTTAATTTGGGATTTTGAAATCTACAATTTTTTCATTATTTTTTGACTGTTGATTTTTATTTTTATGTATTATTTTTTAAACAATAGTTAGTTTTGCAGTGACACGTGGTGAGACTATTGTTGAGCAAATCATAATTGGTACTCCTGGAATAATGCTCGATTGGGTACTAAAAATGAAAGTCATTGATCCGTCGAAGATTATTTGTATGGTGTTTGATGAAGCTGATGTTATGATCTCACAACAAGGTCATATGGATCAGAGCATTCGCCTTCACAAGTATTTTATATTTTAGTATAGTATTTAGTATTTTAGTATATTTTTTTGCCGTTTATTTTAATTATTTCACTGCATTTCAATAGAATCATACGTACTTAACGAATAAATCAGTTGGTTTTAAATAGATTTCATCTAGCTATGGCTTTAATTTTTTTTAACTTTCAGCAATAAGTATTTTATAATAAATTTTGCAGTGAACTGAAACATTCTGGAGCGAAATATCAAAGTCTTTTGTTCAGCGCTACTTATGACGATTCTGTATTTGCTTTTGCAGAATCGATAATCAAAGAAGCCGTGCTCATAACGTATGTTTCCTTTTAAATTTAAGCAGCATGTGATTTATGTGAAAGTTCCCCTATTGACCTTTCGATGGTCGAGTTTTCGTTTGTTAAAGTGCTCTATTGGGTTATCTTGTAGCTTTATATTTTTTCAAACAGTTCAGATGGCGCAGTTCTCAGTTGGTGGTAGTGCTTGATAAGATAGTATTTCCTTTCAGCAAACATTTCCATGTTTATTTTATTTAAATCAGAATTTTCTGACTTGCGGTTTTTGACCACTATTTATTTGAGTATTGAGCGCATATAAAAAGTAAGAAAATATTCATTAATATTTTCTCTTATAGTGTACGACGAGAAGAGCAAACGTTAAAAAATATAAAGCAGTATTATGTTCGTTGTGCAAACCGAGAAGAGAAATGTGAAGCTGTAATAAATCTTTACGGTGGATTAACAATCGCTTCAGCTATCATATTCTGCTATGTATGTTATGGAATTTGTAAACAAAAAAAATAATGAGGAATTTCAAAATTTTTTTTTATTCGCTTTCAATTTCGAAATTTTTTAAAAAATTGAATTGAACAATATCGTCCATACAAAAGTAGAAAATAATATATTTCAGACGAGGACATCTGCGGAGTGGCTGGCAAATCGAATGGCACAGCGAGGACACGAAGTAAGTGTACTTCATGGTGCAATGTCGATTGAGAATAGAGCTAAAATTATACAAGACTTTAAAGATGGTGTTTTCAAAGTCTTGGTGACCACAAATGTGTGCGCTAGAGGTGAATTATAATTCTAATTTACATTTCATATTTTGTTTGTCTTTACTTTCGATTTTTAATTATTTTCTATTAAATTTTACCTCAAACATTTTATTATGTCTGACGATTCATTCTTTCGTTACTAACCTGTTAAATCATTTTCGGGAAAAGTCAAAAAAAATTTTTGATTTATGATTTATTTAGAATTATTTATTCTTCATTGATGAATTTCCTTCAAAATCATGTTTTCATGAAATTTCCGTTATTTTATGAAAATTTTTTTAAAGGCATTGATGTTTGTCAAGTAACTGTTGTTATCAATTATGATCCACCTGTTACGCATTTTGATTCACAGCCAGACTATGAAACCTATCTGCATCGTATTGGACGTACCGGAAGATTTGGTAAAGCTGGAATTGCTATAAATTTAGTTTCTGATGATTTCTCTCTTAATGTTATTGAACGCATTGCGGAACATTTTGGTAAGAATTTGTGGATTTACATAAACCTATTTCAAGTCCAGTTCAAATCCAATAGTTTAAATTTCAGAATATTTTTACATTTAGGATAGACCTAGATAAATCTGTCGTCATCTTCGCATATATTTTATTTCATCTCATTGAGCAATTATTAAGTTTTATTTCTTATTTCATCTTTCAGGTAAAAAAATTGAACTTCTTGATGCTAGCGATATGGACCAACTAGAAGCAATTGATCGCGACTGACTAATTTCAGTTTAAAACATGGGATCGAATTGCAATTTTCTGTTGCTCAAATTTTAATTTATATGTTTATTTGACTTACTTATTTATCTAATATTTTGCATTTTAAAATTTCAAGTTTTATTTTAAAAAGTATCATAAGCTTTAAATATTCTGAGTAATTTATATTCGGTAATGCTCAGTATATTACATTATTTTTTCTTCCTTCCATTGATTTTCTTCGTTAATTATTTCAAATTATTTTATAAATTTTTTGTTGAAAATTTGCATATCAAATTGTTAATTGAAATTTTTGTCCGATTTAAATTCTTTTTTAAAGTCTTTCTAGATTAATTCCTGCGATTTTATGGATTTTTTTAGAGACTTTATTCATTCAATACGTTTACCTCGAGATAATTTTGTAGTAGGCTATCTAATTTCACTGCTGGAATACTAGAATGGTACATTCATGTGTACAAGTATCGATATTATTGTTTATTCTTTATTAATATCAATGAGGAAATTATTCTGGAAGAATTGCAAATCATTTCCTTTAATTCTAATATTTTTCGCGATTTATTTTCTTCGATTCATTTGATTCTTTCTATTCGTATTTTTATTTTTTATTTTTTATACTTTTATAACAAACATTACATTACATTCTCGTTGGGCTTTTTTTTTTTATTAAATTTCTATAATACTTGTTTTCTATGTTTTTATTCATTAGCGAAAGAAAATTTTACAGCTATTGCGAAATTGATCTTCCATTTTGCATGGTTGAAATCAATTCGTTTTTCGAAAATTTTCATGATTTACCATCGAAATTTATTATGAAAGTAAACTAATTTATAAAAACGATTTTTAGCGTAATTAATGTTTATTTTTTTAAAGATTTGCGAAAATTAGGCTTAAATTTTTGCAATTTTTGAAAAAAACTTTACTCGAATATATTGAAGTTGCGTAAATCTGAGGCAAATATATTTTGTTTGTTTTTCACCACTTAAAGCTTCGAAGCATTTAAATTTTTTGTTTGCGAGTCGCGTGACTTTTGATTCTAACCAAAATGACAATATAAAAGGGAATTGGATGGGGAGAAAGGGAGAAAGGGAGGAGGAAGGGAAGGGGAGGGGGGTGGTGAAAGAAGGGGTGAAAGTGATTTTTTCGAATCAAACGGAAGGGTTTATGGTCATTTCTTTAAAGGATGCGAGAAGGTAGTCTGTTTGGCCAAATAGCGTAATTTATGTAATTTCCTGTCTTTTATTCCGACTATGTCGTGCAATCTTCGTTAATACAGACTCTATGCTTTAATAATTCGGTGCCTTATGGGGTCATACAAATTAATTGGTGCCGTATAGTCAGTCGCCTATTTGGTAATCTTCAATACGATCTATCTTACTGTATAAATTCCAATAATTCATAACCGTGAACAATTATGTGCTTTAATTAACATTTATATATTTCATTTGAAGAAAGAAATTTGGATTGAAAATTTTTTTCGTATTTTTTAAAAATTTTTCCAATTTTTGAAAAATCAAAGAAAGAAAGAATTTGATAATTTGCTGATAAAAATTGAAAAAAAATTGATTTGTTAATGATTTTATTAAAAAATTCGCAGAAAATTTCAATTTAAGTACTTTTAGAAAAGAGGCAAAGAATGATAAATTGTTCTGTTTTTCTGGAAGAAAGAAGAAAATATGAGAATTTGAAATTTCCAAATTTCAAATTTTCAATAAAAATTTTAAAATTAATTACATTTATCTTTATTTTTTTTCTATTTTCAATTTGAATAAATATATTTTAGTAAAATTTGAAAAATTTTACTATTTTGTAGTAATAAGCGATTGATAGTAATCCAGAATCGTGGGAAAAATAAATTTTTCTCGTTTTTTCCACAACTATTGTTTTTCTGAGAATTTATAAAATCTTAAATTATGCTGAACATTGATCTTTTTTTTTGCTTTTTTCCTTTTTTATTCAATTTTCCATTCCCCTACCATCTGCTGATTTCCCCTTCTAGCATTTATTATTTTTCAGGTCACGATTGACGACTATCTTAATTTTAGATTTGCGAATCATCATCATTATTATCTATAACGATTTTTATGATGGACATATTGAGTGATATGAATAGCTGATTGCCAACTGAATTAGTTCATCAGAAAGCGTTTGGCTTTGATCATGAATGATGGATTAAAGGAAATGATGCGCAATCTATAAAGCATATTTTCCCAGCATGATATTTTGAAGATGAAAAAAAGAGATTTTTTCATGAGATTATTAGATTTAATCATTTTTTTCCCTCCTTCACCTCTTCCCCAATTCTTATCTCTTTTTTTTTATTTACTTTTGTTTAGTACCATTTTCTTTTCGTTGGAAATCGAAAATTTTGAGAGAATTTTTCAGAAAAATTTAAAAAAAAACCAATTTTTCTTAACGTTTTTTCGTTTTAAGCGTGTTTAAAGTATTTTCTTGAAACACTAAACACTAATTTTTGGTTTCGTTTTGCTCACTGTGGTGATAATTGAATTAAAATGATAAATTTCTGTGATTTCTCAGTCCAACTTTTCGTAAACAGTAATTTGTTAATTTAATTTTAAAAAATGAAAATAAATCAAAAAAATATGAAAAATATAATTGAAAAAATTGAAAAAATGTTTGGGAAAAACAATTCGAAAATACTTTCAAATCGTAGAAATTTCTCAAACCAAATTTTTGCAGAATTTTCCATTAAACTCGGTTGTTTTACAAATTTTTTCACTCATTTTTATTTTCATTAAAAATTTGAAAAAAATTTAAAAATTTGTTAAAATTGCAAAGACTTATGCAAAATTTTTCCAATATGATTATTTTTTTGAATTAAAATCGTCATCGAGCTTTTCAGAAAATTTATAGGGAATGTCAAAAAAAAATTCAATTTGATTTTTGGCACCTAAATAAATTTTGGTTTCTAAATAGAAAATTTCCATTATATCAGCTGATAAGTATATCAATTGAATGAATGAAAAGGAAATTATGAATAATATTTTTATATTATTATAATTATAATAATGATTATAATTATTACAAAAACAATAAATAATAAATATAATAAGTATGGATTGATAGATATTTCTACTAAAATCACGTAAAGCCTTTTATCGAATATTGTATTTGATAGATTACTAAACGCTTTCTAAATCGAAAGTTCATATAGTAAAATAGGTTTATATTTTATTTATATTTTTGGTGAATAAAATTATTTGGTGATTGCTTTATTTGATCTTTTTTTTATGAGTAAAGAATTATTTTTTTTTTTTTCATTCATTCATCTGATAAAAAAAAAGCAAAAAAAATTCGTAAAAATTTATAATATATTTTTATTTATCAAATTTTTATTAATGATTTCGCAAAAATATTTGAGCATTAAAATCTTAAGAATTTATTTTAAAAATTATTAACTAAAATAATAAATAAATAAATAAAATAAATAAAAAACAAATTATGCAAATTATGCAATTTCCGAAGTAATATGGCGGTATATTATTTTATAAGGTATAAAAGAAAGGTTTATGTTTCCTTTTTCGGTTCACAGTTGGGTGGTTATGCATTCATTTTATAGGCTAAGATGACCTTTAAATGACCATCTCGTCATGCCTATTTCTATTCTTAAGTATTGTTTTTATTATTTCTTTGCAGTTACTTACTTATCTATAGAGTAGAGTAATTCCACTTGACTTTATTCTCTTTTTTTATCTTCGAAAACAAAATATTATTTGAACATACTTGCATAATTCTTCCTCTTTCAATGACACTTTCTAATATACTATGGTACTGACTAGTAGATGGGAATCATTTGGGAATGGGAATAAAGGCGCTTTCTAATATACTATGGTACCGACTATAAATGGGAATCATTTGGGAATGGGAATACAAACGCTTTTTAATATATATGGTACTGACTAGTAGATGGGAATCATTTAGGAATGGGAATAAAGGTGGTTTCTAATATACTATGGTACCGACTATAAATGGGAATACAAACGCTTTTTAATATATATGGTACTGACTAGTAGATGGGAATCATTTAGGAATGGGAATAAAGGCGGTTTCTAATATACTATGGTACCGACTAGTAGATGGGAATCATTTGGGAATGGAAATACAGGCGTGTCCTTAGCAACACCTTGTTAAGTGTATCATTTTGAAGATTAAAATTATTAAATAAAAATAAATAAAAATTAAAATTAAAAAAAATTAATCTTTTGGTAGACTTTTATAATATTTGATTAACGCTGGCATAAGATTAGATAAAACGATTCTCAGTTGATTAAAATTTTTTAAAATTATTTGCTTACACATTTTTATATTTTGGTCTTTTATCTTTGCTAACTAACAATGTTATGTAAAATTTGTAATTTATTTCAAAAAAAAACCTGTAAACGTTAAAAAAGCGTTTTGCCCATATTATTGTTATTATTACTGTTATTTTTATTATTTTCTTATGGTTTAATTTTTAAAAAGTATTATTTATTTATTTATTTATTTCTTATTTTTTATTTATTTACTATTTATAATTGAGTGAATAAGAAAATATACATATAAATAACGAAAGTTTTAAATATGTTCGCTTATATATTATATATTATTAGTTTTGTAATAGTCCTCACCATTACTAGTTAAACTCGCTCCACTGGCTTGTCGCAGTTGAACAATATGCCAGAGAGTACCTTAATAATAGAAATATAGGTGAGTCGCCAGCATCACATCGATTTTCGTGCAGGTTTACTGTTGCGGGGAACCGAACCTCAGCATCGACATTCCCAATTCAGCAACAACCCACTGAGCCATTTTATTTCCACTTCTTTAATATTCTTATAATATGGCTACCAATAAATCAGTTGTTATCCGTTGTATTCGTTTGGATGAATAAATGAAAAAAAATAGAAATAAACATTTTATAAATCTTTAAAAATTTTATTTGATTATAGAAGGACCAAGTAGAGCATTTTGCCTGCTAGCGTTATAATACTGATAACAATGGTAAT